TATAAAACATGAAAATTCCAGAAAAGTTACAACACAGACAATATCATGTAAAAAAATTCACCTTCAATAAATTTCTTATCACCTACACCTGACACAAAATTAATCAAGGAAGGAAAACTAGATTTGAAAAAAATGTCTACTGAGCCACACCATCTATCATTGACAAATAAACATGTTTGACTTCTACTTTTTCATGATATTGTAATTCCCATTTTTGTCCCGTTCGCATAGTTAAGCCAATTCATTTGTTGTTTGTCAATGCAAGATCGTGTTCCTTACGAAATGGCATATAGGAATCAATGATTAGCTTCTATGCTACATGTTGGGCAAGAAAAGAATATAGGTTTAAAATATTGTAATGGACAGTGTGAATACACATATGACATGACAAATACCAAGGTTCAGGAAGTAACGATAAAAAGTTGTATTAAATCAAAACATCGCACAAAGCTACTGCTAGGTATTGAAAAAGTAAATATACCTTGAAATCCTCAATCACGGATTTTAATTGTTCATTTTCATTCATCAATTTTGCATGTCATCAGCTTTTGGCCTACAAAGGGAACCAAGATTATGGAAAATGTAATAAGATATCCAACATTATAATGGCCACAAAAAAGCAGTATAGAAAACGAGTATAATTATAAGCAACTCTTGACATATATTGGAACATATAAATTGAATACCTTATTATTATTAAGAAGACCAAAGTTTTATGGGTGTGATTATAGCCAAAAACAAAGGGGTGTAGGGAGCAAGAAACGCATATTTACAAAAGAGTGATTAGAAGCCTCTTTTAAACACACCATCAATCTGCACTATCTCTTATTGTGAAGAGCCTAGGATTCTTTATTGGAATAATAAGTCAACTATCAGCATTGTTCACAATCCACTTCGGCACATTAGGACCAAACACAAGATAGATAGGCACTTTATTAAAGAGAACCTAGATAGTGGCCATTATCACCACTTTTTATGTCCCATCTAGGCTTCAGTTAGCATATTTGTTTACCAAAGATCTTTCCACTACAAGTTATGATCTCACATTCAAGCTCGGAATGATAGATATCCATTCACCAGCTTGAGGGAAAGTGTTGTCTTAGAATATTTAGTGTACTACTAGAAGTTGTTAGAATATTATAGAGATAATTGTTACTACTTGGTTAGAGTTCTCTATATATAAGTTGATGTACTGTTTCAATCAATTGAATAAGAATCTTCTTTCTTTCATATTAATCCTTTCAAGCTATATACATACATACACACACACAAACACTCACATATCATAAACTGATCTTAACCAAGAAAAAAAAAGACAATGATCCCACAACAACTTCTTAACAAGTAACAAAGTCTATCTAGAGATCAAAGCCATCATTCATCATATTCTCACTTTTCAACTAAAAAGAAAAAAAAATCTCCTTAAAAAAAGAATATGAATCCCAAATCCTTTTCTTGCTAATACTCAAAACAAAACAGTTTTACGATCACTTTCTCAACTCGGTTAAAAAAAGACTAAGAAAATTTCCTTTTGACAAAGTGAATTAGTAACTAAACTATTTTTACCCATTATAATCTTCATGACTTCTGTTTTATGTAAGAGAAGCTTGGGAAAATATATAGTCTAGGAAAAAAGCTTGGTTCTACAAACACATAGACCCCCTAACCAAGACAAAACGTACCAAACAGACCAAGAAAAAGCCTACCTAGAGATGATGTAGTGTTTAGATCGTCTTGTATATTACGAGATCTTGCCAACAAAAACATACAAAAGCTGCCATGAATAACATGCACTAAATGAAATACCTGAGCCTGTCTTGCAGCACCTTGTAGGGCAGCTTCCATCATTTTCATTTCCCTTTTCACCCTCTCTAGTTCAATCATGGCACCAGAGTCAGAAATAGTTCTTTCAGATCTTATATGATGCACTTTCATGTCAGTTTCAACATCATGGGCAAAGTGGTCGCTTTCATGTTCTTCTGCAGTTGTTTCATTTTCAGGTAAAAACTCTACATTTACCACCTTAGAAGATTCATTTGGAGTACCACTGGGCAACTGTTCAATACTTGATTGATCAGAGTTTACTGGCTTCATCCGAAGCCACAGACTGTAGAACCAGAAGTGTCAGTAATCATCTCTTTTCTCACCTTCACTCGATGTCCTCATGTTGAGCAGAAGATACTCTCTTTACACTTTCATCTGCTTGTACCCTCTCTTCTTTACTCTCCTCTTGTGTCTCGGCTTGAGAATTTTCATTCCCATCACTAATACCATGTGATTCACCAGACTCACTAGTAACAGCCTCATCTACATTGTCTGCAGGACTAAGAGGAGTGAGTTGCATTGACACTGGACTCTCAAAGCCTCCCTCATTGGTAATCTCTTTCTCTTGAGAATGATCTATGGCATCTGAACTCTCAATTTTCTCAACAGAGGATTCAGTCAATTCAACAGGCATCTCCAGTGAGTGGTGTTCCTCCTTTCCATGATCCAAATTCTGTTCAATTGTTTCATCCGCTGCTGACTCTGTATGCTCACCATCTTCTTCTTTCTTAAGCATTTTATTTTCTTCTTGGGCAGTGATTTCTTCATCTCCCACATGGACTTCATTATCAGTTTCAAGGGCCTTGTTTCCTTCGTCCACTGGTGTATGATCCAGAGACTCTGGCACTTCTGGTAACTTCTCAGTTTCAGAATCTCGTTGAGAGGATTCATCTTTTTCAGACATTTCTTCTGCAGATTCCTCGCTTTTGTTCCCCATAAAGGCCATGACAGGATTAAATATGGCTTTCGTGTCGGTAGATATAGGCCATGACCCAGCATCTAGAATTCAAAAACCAAACGATATAGCTCCAATCAGTGTCAAAACCGAGAAATCCCCACATAGAGAAAACACATCTAATCAAAAAATTCAAAACTCAAATCTCACAACAGTTAATGAACTTCACATCTACCTCTATCATAAAATTCACACACGACAAAGAAATGCTAGGAACTGCCATTAAGTACCTTCATTGCTGGACTCAGCCTTCTCTTCGAAGCCAAGAGCGGAATCAAAATTCTTCTCAATATTCTTCACACTCTCCTGAAGCTTATTAACGGCTCCCGCCAAATCGGGGAAGTTCCCCCACGATTTTTTCCCACTAAACCACGCCATCGCGAAAGCTACAAACCAAAACAAAACCGAACCCTGATGCACATTAACAATTGAAAACGCCACTCAATTCCTACTCTATTCCAACCCCGGATCCCAAAAAAGCATCAACAATGTAACTCAGATAAGCATCGATAGAAAAAAGAAAAGACGGTCAAATTCAATTCATGCACCACACCACCGCGAAAAAAACTATGCATCAAAAAAACCAAGCCGAATGGAGAATAGAAAAAGCGAAATGCTAGGTAAATCTGAAATCTGATCATTGTAAAGGAAGATACGAATGCAGAGGGGTTGAGTTGGTGAGGAATGAGATCAATAGTAAAAAGATGCAAGACGAACCTCAATGATGCGATGGATCCAGGAATCAAATCGTGGACGTGGCTTTCGAAGTGGTGGAGCTCATAGCTGAATTATTACGAAGCTTCACCTACAATACAATTGAATCATCGAAAAGAGAGAAAAGTTGTCGGTGAGATAAAAAAACGAGAAATGGAGAGTGGCGTTGCAGAAACGCGGGAATGGATGTTCAATTTTATGAATTCTGCAAAACTAATGCTAATGCTATGCGAGGGATGACAGATCCTCCTCCAACGCGATTCTAAAGGTTTCTTCTCTTCGCACGTTGGGTTGGGGGCGAACGCAACGCTGTCGTATGGCTACTTTCATTTCTTTTTCTTTTATTAATTATTTTGATGAGTAGGGTGGGCGTAATTTGTTGATAGATACATAACTTCTTATTTGCATGTTTCAATAGGGTAGAATAGAAAATATAAATACGATGCAATGAAAAAAATAATACAAATAAGATTTTTTTTTAATGACAGAAAAACCTGAAACAGTTATTTGAATCAAAATACAGTAATTTTATGCGCGAAAAATAGCTTCCGTTTTATAAGGTTTATTAATATTTGGAATTTAAATTATTTCGTATTGAAAATATTAAGTGGTTTGTTTGGATAAAATAAAAAAATTACAACTACATAAATCATTACTATTTAAGAATGAACGTTTCGATTTCGATTATATAAATTGACAACATAAAAATACACTCCATTCAAATTTAAAGAACGTGATTAAGAGATTGAGGAGTAGTTTAGTTTATGAGTTTACAATATCTCCCGGAGAAAGAATATATTCATTTTTCACATTCAAATAATTCCTAAAAAATGAGCCTCTAATATTAGCCATTGAAAATATAAATACTGATAAACTAAGTTCCTAATTTTACAAAAACCAACAGTGCAGTCTTTTATCGTATAAAATGTCGTTTGCTTTAAAAATTGTAGTGAATGACATTTTGCAAAGTTAAGAAAGCTTCTTCACCAATAGTCACCACAGGAACACAGGCCATGATTAAAATTATGATAGCGATTGACGTCTCTCACAGTTATCTCCCTCTCCGTGATTTTCGAGATGAACTTGATTGCAACATGACAGTCTTCACAAATCCGAAGATTCTTTGTTATCAAAAGCCTGGTCCCTGGCAATGTACTTATGAGTCCAAATGCAATAGCTAGTCTTTCGCTGTGACTGCACACCATGTCTGCCTTCTCGTCTTCCTCCACATCATGGAAGACAGATCCTGTATCAGGGGCATATCCAGCTTCTCGCATTAGTCCTTCTAACCTCTTTAACTCTGCATATATTGCACCAGAATTTGGGTGTGAAACATCTCCAGAAAGAAATGCATAGACCTTGTTCTTTACTTCAATCCAGCTACAAGCAATGTTTTTCTTTATTCCTTTATCTATCATTAACTGCCTCAATCTAGCAACTCCTTCCCACTTACCTGATTGAGCATACATGTTAGCCAAAATCACATAATTACCAGAGTCATCGGGTTCAAGTTCGATTAATTTCTCCAAAGCCACCTCTCCTAACTCCACATTCCCATGGGTTTTGCATGAATTCAGTAAAGCACCCCATACACCGGAATCTGCCGTTACGTCCATTCGTCTTATAAGATCATACGCCTCATCCAGTTGACCACAGTGACCAAGGAGATCAACCATGCATGTGTAGTGTTGAACGGTGGGGTTGATACAGTAATCCTTCACCATCAACTTATACAGTGCTCGCCCTTCATCAAGCAAACGCCCTCGGCTGCAAGCTGCAAGAACACCAACAAAGGTTATATGATCGGGCTGAGCCTCTTCCCTCATTCTCTCAAACAAGTCCAAAGCATCAACAACAAGACCATGCATCGCACAGCCAGTAATAATAGCATTCCAAGATACAACCCTTTTCTCCCTAAGCCGCTCGAACAAGATACTAGCAACTTTTACAGAACCACATTTTGCATACATGTCTATCAAAGCAGTTTTGACCTTGTCATTGGATTGAAACCTATGTCTCCAACCAAATCCATGAATCTCCCTTCCATGAGGAAGACAGGCAATATCAGCTGAAGATGAAATCACAGTGACTAAAGTTGCCTTGGTGGGTCTTACACTCGTTGCCGCCATCTCGCGGCATAGAGAAAGCGATTCATCAAAAGGTGTCCATTTTGAGCATAAGCTGCCAGCATGGAGTTCCATAACACAGCATCTCTCTCAAAAATTTTATCAAACACGTGACGGGCATCGACCACACAACCACATTTGGCATACATGTCAACAAGAGCTGCACCAACAAACACATCCCTCTCCCACCCAGTTCGTATCACACGCTTGTGAATGATCCTTCCCTCTCCAATTGTGGAGAGTGCAGAGCACGCTTTGAGAACAAATGGGAGAGTGAAATTATCGGGCTTGAGCCCATACTCAAGCATCTGATGGTAAAGTGAAATGGCAACCTCGTGGGGCCCATTCCACGCATAAGCCCGAATCAAGACGTTCCAAAGAAACAAATTCCCTTTGGGAATTTGATCGAACAGCTGATGGGCATTCCGAATAGAGTTACAAACGCTGTAAAAATTGACCAGTTTGGTGGCCAAATCTTGATTGTGAGCAATACCCAGTTGACACAATCGGGCGTGGAGTTGTTTCCCAGGTCCTAACGCCTTGACAGAGATACAAGACTCAAGTAGCAAAGCGTAACAGTAGTGATTAGATGGTGATAAAGGAAATGATTGAACTTGGGCGTGGCGTGAAGTAAAAGGGTAGTGTTGAGGGATTTGCTGTGTGGCAAACGAACAGTACAAGAGTCGCGGTTGGAAATAAGACCGTGAAACAAGGAAGATTTTGAAAGAGAATGAAAATGTAGAAAGGATTCTTGAGGTTTCCTGCGTCTTCATAAAGGAACAGAAAGAGTAGCATTCATTTCGAGTGGTTTCGCAAGTGTTCTGTTACAGCCTCATCATATCTGGCTTCGGTGATTTCTATCTCTGCATCGCCTTCGATCACGGTCAAACATGCTTCTGCATCGCTCTACATTTAGACCATGCTAATGGCTTGCATGGTTCAGTTCATATGATAGAAATAGAGAAAATGAAAGAGCGTAACCCAGAAAAAATTAATTAGAAACTAAATGTGTTACATTTAAAAAAGTAAAAATAATGATAATAAATAAATACAACTTAATTAATTATGATAAAATATAATAGTTTAATGGTTATTGATTCGAAATTGTTAGAATTAAATATATTTTTAGTCTTTGAAATTTAAATGTAATTGATATTAATTCAAAATATTTTAGTTTTTTAAATTTAAAAATAAATATGTGATAGGATACAGGAACTATTTTTTAAAATTAACTTATACCCAATAATAATGTACGTGGTAAAATAAAATTGTAATAATTACTTTATAATGTTGCATGGTGGAAATAAATTAGAATTTGAAGATTTATTAATTAGTTACTGTGAGTAACTAATAAAATAAGTATGCCTAATTACATTTTAAAATTCATAAAAATTAATCATTCATGGGTTATAGACCATATAAATTTAGTCAGTTAATTTTGTTCAAATATTAATTATAAATTGTTGTATCAAATGTTTTGTCACAACCATAAAACTTATATTTGATAGTTATGGTGTAATTTTTTTATATTTAAGAGTATAGACTCAAACATTATGATTCGAAGGTCGTAAATCTCTGTTATGAAATAATTCATATTATTTATAATAATCTTTTTATTTGATATACACCATAAAATAATTGTGCAATGTACAACAATTTTATGTGAATAATTGATACCACCTTCAACAATTGATAAAAGATCTTTCATATATTTTTCAAATTAATTACTCAATCATGATTACATGATTATAGTTTATTTTATTTTTTTATGTATATTTTAAAATTAATTGATTGAAACAACATTATGCTTGTATAAATTAATTTATTTTACAATATAAGTGAATATTGAGCTTGTAATGTATGTGCTAGTAATCCCAAAGGAGGACTGGTATTGCATTCAATATTTATGGTGTAAATATTAATGCATCTTAAAGGAATATTTATTATTTGATATGTAATTATCATTAGCATCTTAATTGTTAATTAAAATTTTACATCCCTATGTATAAATATATTATCAATATTACATCAATATATATATATATATATATATATATATATATATATATATTGAAAAATATTATAATACTTATAGCCTTTATGTATGTAGGTTTATCGTTAATTTTCCAAATTATGAGTTAGTTTAAATTAATTATCATTTTTTATTAACTTAGAGTGTTACGTATTTATTTCTCTAGCTGAGATCGTTCGAGACCGTAATTACTAAAGAAGTGTATAATAATTGTGTGATTATGATTAAACAATGACCGAAGTAAAAGTAACATTCTGGGCAGCACCTGAAAATAAATAAAAATCATGTATATCATTTATTGTTCTACCAGATTGTTCTACAATACCGTTGGAATAAAGCCTTTCAATATGTATAAAATAGAGACAGATATACAGTACTATACAACATGGATACAACTTTATATACAATATATAAGTTTTAAAAATCATAACTGTTTCGGTGGTCGTTTCCTTCCTCCAAGTTGGATGGGTGGACATATGTCAAAGGCACTTCGATGCTCAAGTTAGTAATGTAATCGAATGGTAAGTAATGCATGTATATATTGTATTGTGGTCTAAAGTCATATTTGAGACCTTTATTTATACTGGTTGTAATGGGCTTTTACCTTTCGTGAGCCTGATGACGGTCCAATCATACCTTAATTCTCCATTAGGGGCTTTAATGAGTCGTTTATTATTTACAGTCTGATCAAGGGCGGTCGGCCAGAATGATTGGCCTGATGGTTGGCTCGACCGATCGATTAGACTAATTGGGCTGACGGCGCACTTGAACGGTCGACTCGGAAGGAGACCGTACGATACCCAGGGTACCGTACAGTACATCAGCCCCCAAGCCCGAGCATGAGGTGAATGATGCGAAGGGTTTTAATAGATGGCCCTCCTAGAAAGGACGAGTTCCCTGGTTGGTTTTCATTTCTAAGTCAGCTCTGCTAGTTGGTGAGTGGATGTAAGACAAAGAGTAGTGCTTGTTGAGGCCATTCGAGGCCGAGAATTTGAGGCCATCAGGGGCCAAGTTGACACCGAACGTTCGAGGCCGTGAAGTTGAGACCAAGCTATGGTCGAAAAACTGATACCAATGGATGGGCGAAATTTTGAGGCCACTCGAGGCCGAGAGGTTGAGGCCAGGCTATGACCGAGAGGTCGAGGCCGTGTTGGCCGAGAGCTTTAGGCCTTAGGAGGCCGA